CACCGCTAACACAACGCTAGGAACGGCTCTTAAGATGAACGGCTGAAAAGCCGACGTCAGGTCAGATCTAAAAATTTCCAAGTATTTAAACAACCAAGTGCCAGCTGAACAGCGATCATTAACTCCCGTTTTCAACGCCTCTTACAACAAGACCTTCAACACTCTCCCATTGACGCCGGCCGATATCTCACCAAAACTCATCAAGATGCAACTCACCACCCTCGTCGGCGCCTCTTTCGTGGTTCTCGCTTCGGCCCTGAACACCTCCTACCCTCCCATCAACCTAGGCTACTTCTCCTTCCCCCACGGAAACCTTTTCATCGCCTGGTCTCCTTTCACTCCCACCAAGACATCCGACGTCCAGGAGGTTTGCGACACCTCTGGCGCCATCCAGGGCACCGCCACCTGGACCTCCATCCGTGCCTACAACACCTACGTCTTCGACCCTATCTGCCGCAACCCCTTCAACGTCACCGACGACGCGACAAACACGACGTACTACAACCTCGAGTTGGCTTGCGAGGACGATAACATCCCTCTCTACGCCGAACCAGAGGTCACCGCCGTCGTCGACGTGGCTACGAACAGGACCATTCAGACCTGCGTCCCTGCGGTGGTTGAGGGCGTAAACTACGCGAGCTGCTCGAAGGCCCCTTACCAGGGCGTTCGCTTCAGCTTTGCTTGCTCCTCTTAAGACGCGGAAATTCACTGAAAGTTCTTGGGTTGAAGATGAGACGCGACGAAAGTTTTCGGCTTATGTGACGTATATGGAAAAAGTCGCTCTATTGCGCTAAGATGAAGACACGATAATTGTAATGAAATTAGAAATCAATGATACTTCAAATCCTGATATGCCTCATTTTCCAACAGGAAAGAAGCATCTCACCCTGGGCACATAGAACCTTTCTTGTGTCTCTGCCTTTGGACAGTCGATATGCTCATTCTCTTGAGGATCCGTGATGCACTCGAATTCGAGAATGTCATCACACTTGAATCTTCCGGCAGATTTCGTTTCATAACCACTGATGTACTTGCATCCCTTCTTTCCGTATATGTCCTGGCTGGCCTCGAAACTTGGTGGCAACCCTGGGGAGTCAGGAGACGTTCTCATGCCAGCGCCTATCCCCCCGACAGCCTCATCGTTGCAAATGTCGTGAATTGTCTTGTCGTCGAGGCTTGTGAGGCGGGGAAGCATGACAAAGTTTCCACCGGATGTGGTGGTCGTGATGACAGACGAGATGGCCCAGTCGAAGAATATGTACACCGCTTCGGACGGCTGGGCTGGAGGCGGTGACTGTGTGGCTGATGTCGGCTTGATGATGTTTGACTTGGGGCCGGGCTTTGTATTTTGATTGTGAGACCTCGTCGATGTCACGAATGATGATGATGGGGTTGGGTCGATGGTCACTGTGACCACGTCGTTGACTGTGACTACGTCATGGACAGTCTTGATGCCGCCCTTGAGCTGAAATGAGGACGGAGAATTTGTTGATCTCGGGCCCACAGAATTGGCAGAGGTAATATTGGTAGTGATATGCGAACTTGATCGAAGTGGCGCCGCCGCGACACGGGAGGACGACAGTGTTGCAATGGTACCATTGGCACATAATTCATGCATTGGACACAAATGTCCCCAAGGAAGAGGCAGCTTCCGGTTCCGAAGGGATCTGGGTTTGAAAGTCCGTTCTTGCGAGATTGACTTCGTGGCGTTGCGGGACACCATCCTAGTAATTAGCCTTGGCGCTGGTACTGTCGATGTCCTCGCGGAGACGTCAGTACCAGGCACATGACTTATCTACAGAAAGTCAACAAAGCTCAAGATCATATCAAACAGGGATTGACCGACATATGGAAAGCTCTCTGGTACCTTTGAGACCATTGGCTTCTGACAGGCATTGTCAGCATGCGTGCAAGTTTTGATGCCCTCGACGGTAGCTTGGTGTTGCCCATAAGTCCGACTATGGTCGCTGGCGCGTACAGACCTAATCAAGAGATGTTGAACCAACAGTAATGGCAAAATCCATAAGTGAGTTGAGAATACAAGGATCAACATGACCAGAAATGCCGAATTTTGAAGTATAGGTTGAGATTGACATGAAGAAGCGCGCTGGCTTCTCGAGCAGGTACGTCACAAAGCCTCCAAATGCGTACCAGTATCGAGTCCATAAGGTCTATAAGTATGAACGAGTCCATATCAGGTATGCGGACGCAGAGGCCATTCAAAGAGATGCCATGTATCACAATTCATGGTGAAAACCGGATTCGCATACGATATCCATGCAAAGAAGGTAGCTTCCGGTAGTTGTGTTACCAATACAAACAAGAGAAGGGCTGTAATAGGCTATCCGGATCTGCTGTCATTTCCAGTCACCGGTTGGACATGTCTTCTTTCAGCTTCATGTATCATTGAAAGTATTGTTCGATTTACAACACTAGGGATCCCTTCGTATGAAACCGGTGATCAAATGCTGTTTCTACATGTCCCTGCAGGCATCAGAACCTCGCATACGTGGCAAAACAGCCTTTGTGCAACCAAGATTGACAATATCGAATACTCCAGCGCAAGGAAAGATCTTCCGACGCCCCTTCGCTAGCGTGCAACATTCCAACGTTAGAGTCTTTTCCGACGGGCGCATACACCGGCACCATCTTCTGCTTTCCCAGGCTTGATGTTTAGCAGTGTTTCGTGTCCCACAGTTTTGTATGTCCGTCGCAGGAAGACAAGTTGATGAGCGCAAGATAGGGCAGCGAGGTCTACTGGACACAGGCAATGGCACAGAGAGGCCCTCGACGGAGCAGACCATTGACAGAGAAATAGTTCTGGAGAGATCAACTCGCCTATCTAGTAACTGTTTGTGCACATACTCTATTCGGCGTTGACGCGACTCCTACTCCCACTGTCCTCATATAACACATATCTGGTAGACTTCGGACTGTTGTTGTTGTTGTAGTTAATCTTATTTCCGACGTCGAAGCTGCCCTCAGGTCGCTCCCTGGGGCATGCATCGTGTAGGGACTTCAGACTGACTAGAAGAGTATTTTCGCTGACCGCATCGAATAATTATGCGTGAACCCAAGGCCTACTAACCTGCATCTCTTCTATCATTAGCCCTCGGTGAGCGGTTGGCTGCCTGCATCGGCCTCTGCCAGCCTGTCCTCATCTTGTACCAACACTTTTCGCGTGCTATTGATGATTTCTGTAAGCATATTCACGCGAGGCTCTCACAGTGAACTTTTCTCATTCCCAAATGCCAAGTCCGATAGATTTGCCATGCACAACCTGGCAATGCTACCCGGCTCCCATCTGTTTGCGAAGTCGAAGGTACCTGGTTGTACATGCTCTGCCGTTGGAGACTATGCGAAATGACTCCAAGTTGTTCTACTCAATTTGCATTCGTGCCATTGAACCCTGAACTCGCCCAGCCCAGCCGTCATCTCATTCCGAGGGCCGGTGTGATACCCTTTCGATGCCCACTCTGAATCCTATCACTTCACTATCCGCCACGTCTCAGGTCAGCCAAGCGCTAGTAGCAGTGACGCTCCACACGCCAACTACAGTAGTGGCCGGGCGGCCCGCCCCCGCAGAGGCGGCAGCAATCACAGCCTACAACGGAAGCGTTAGTTGTTTCTCGGGGCTAGCTCAACGTCTGCGTGTTTTACAGCGGGGAGTGAGACAAAAGCTGAGCCCTAGATCACCATAGATCATACCTCCCGATACAGACGATCAAACTTTGGCGTCCGCAAACACGTTCAGTAGGTCTCCAATGAAACCAGAATATGCCTAGATGCTCAGCTGACGGCTTAGGATGTAGATAGCTAGATGGACCCGGGCCAGAACATCCGTTGGGTCATCCCGTGCATAGGAAACAGGTTTGCAGCCGCTTTCATTCCTTACAAAACGCCACGGCTCTTCGTCATTTCATTAATTTGAATCCTCCCCCTGGTAGATGTAGCCGAGACTCTGCAAGAAGGAGGACTAATAGCTTTATCCACCATTCCAGGAGCCGCCCTGGAGGGGAAACAGAACACTCGCTTTCTCAACAGGGATACAGTATCCCGCATCCGGGCAATTATTTCATGGAAATATAACACAATTGTGAAGGGGTGAATTGTCCTTTCGAGCTTGACAATCTCAAAATCATCTAGTCAAATGCAGCCACGTTTCAAACCAACAATGAGCTAACTATTCAGTACGTATCCGTATTGTTAGCCACCAACTGTCGAGCAAATGGGCTGCGGCCCAACCCCGCGGAGGCGCATGAGGCGTTAGAATTCGCAGCTCAGGCATGGAAGTGGCGGTCTAGCTGCCTGGTTAAGATGTAGTTAACTAAGGGGGAAGCGAGACAACAGCTGAGGTCCAGCTAGCCACAAGCGCTCTGTATCAATGATTGCAGATGGTTTTGCAACCCAAATCACCCGACACCACGGACAATACACCATGTAGCCCAAGGGAATAGAGTATTCAGGGCTATGTTTACATTTCAGCTCAATCGAAGACTTGCCTCAGCTGGATGGAGCACGAAACTAGCAACGATCGGCGACTTGAACCTTTGAGTATGGCGGTTCAGCCAGCCTCTGGTTGAGATGAGACACTGATTCTTCCATTGCGCTAGAATATGATGTGCCACTTCCATCTCAGCTCATTCTCGCCGCTAGCCTTGTCCGGTGTTCAGCTTGTCTCATTTACAGACCGCGTCTTGGAAGACGTAAATGTTGACATTGGAAAGTTCGAACATTTCGTAAACGTCACCCTGTCACAAATTTGACCGCCGATGCAGGCAACATCATGGCGCTGGGCAGCCCAATGCCGCATGAAATATCTTTTACAAGGGGCTTTGAGCTCGAAGATGGCAAAGTGAGTGCGACTTTATTTTATTTAGATCTCATCGGCCCAGCTCAAAAACTCGCGCAGCTCTGACTTCCATTTGAGCCCATCCTCATCAATTCAATCATAACATTCAAACACAATCTTTGCCTTGGCAACTTTTCCAAACTCCATCATGAGTCCCGAAGAATCCCATGCCCAGGCTAGTCATGTTACGGCCAAGCTCCAGAAACATGATGCCTTCAAGTACCAGTGGTCTCGACACGTGGCCCGTGGTAGACTTGACAAGGACCTTAGGAGAGCTCTCGATAAGATGCCGAAGGTGAATCCCAAGGACAGTGCCCCGGTTGACGTCAAGCTTGGGGCCGCTCTGAAAAAGGTCAAACGTTCGCAGCAGGTTGGCCTTCTTCCAGAGGAGCAGAGGCGCTTCAAGGTTGGAATCGTCGGTGCTGGAGTGGCGGGCCTGTTTACCGCGCTCGCCCTCGATTGGATCAATGAGACTATCGAGAAACACAAGGGCGGTGGCAATCTCAAGGTTGAGTACGAAATCTTGGAGGCTGCCCATGAGGAGCGCCTCGGTGGACGACTTTACACCCACCAGTTCACTGAAGAAGGGCTTCACGACTACTACGACGTCGGTGCTATGCGGTTTCCGCGTAACGAGGTCATGTCCAGGTGCGTTGAAACCTCTTGGTGTTATAGTGTGCAGACTACTCACATGTATACCTATCTATATAGAACATTCCGTCTTTTCGACTACCTTGGCATCAGAGAGGGAAAGCTTGGCGACCGAAAGCACGTCAAGGATAAGCCAGTCTTGATCCCATACTACCTTCGCGACGACAACAACGTCTGTCCCTCGTATTTCAACAACGTTAGAATCGTCGGAAATGCTTGGGACGACAAACGTCATGATCCGTTTGCCCTGAATGAAGGCATTGAAGAGGCCAAAAAGATACCGTGCGAGTAAGTTTGTCGCTCACCTTTTTGCGGAGCATTGTTTTTAGCCGTTGGACTAACCGGACAGATTGACCATGAAGAATCCAAGCGACTTGGTCTACGAAGCTCTGAAACCATTTGTCGATCTTGTGGACGATTGCTTTCATGACGAAGCGGATGACGAAGATGATGAAGTGGTATGGAACCTACTCAAGAAAGGCGACCAAATGAGTGTGCGACAATACTTGCTGTCGTAAGCATATGTTCCAGCATATTCTTTTTTAAGTATAATACTCACGATTTTCATAGAAGTGACAAGGACAAAAGTGGTAGGACTTGTTGCTGCTGCAAAAACTGTCGTAAGAAGTGGTGTTGTGATGATCCATTCATCCCGGGCCGCAACTACAGCTACAATACAATTCAATGGCTAGAGACTGCAACTTAGTGAGTGAAAGTAAGCCCCAGAACTAAAGACCTGACTAACAAGCCTGACAGTGGTACAGGCTGGTATGACCAAAGTCTGACCGAGGCTGCTTTAGAGATCCTTGACTTCGAGGTCCCTGCAGCGAAGCCCGAAGAGACCAACAAATACTGGTGGTGTGTTGATGGAGGTGCTCAATCTATTGCGAAGGCAATGCGCGACAAAATGAAGAACTCGGACGTCATCCAATACGACACCCAAGTTGTGGGTATGAAGGCGAACATTAAGCTTCCAGTTGAGAAGTTCAAGAAGAGGATGGAACTCCAGCTACAAGATTCTGTTCAACGCAATCCTCTCAAATCGAAAGAGTACTTCGTGGTTTTCAACTCCACAACTCTAGGTGCAGCCAATCGGATGGACCTCTCCCAAGCTGGTCTGCTGTGGGATACAAAGCAGGCAATTCGGTGCTTGAACTATGGCGCTTCCTGCAAGGTTGGCATCAAGTTCAAATCGGCATGGTGGCGCAAAGAGCCATTCAACATCACCAAAGGCGGTCTAGCTCGGACAGACCTGCCTTTGCAGGTCTGCGTCTATCCCTCGTACAACATTGACAACACAGTAGATCATGAAGATGATCCAGCTGTCCTTCTAGTGTCTTACACCTGGGGCCAGACAGCCCAACGTTTGGCTACACTCATTGCCTCAAAGTCGCCTCAGAAGGCCAAGGAAGCTCGAGAAGACCCAGCCGTCAAGGAAGACATGCTTAGAGAGGAGGCTGAGCTGAAGGAGATTCTTCTTCGCGACCTGGCCTACCTTCATGCCGATTGGGAAAAGAACTCTGATGAGAACGAAGAGAGGTTCAAAGATACTTTAAAACGCATTGAACTTGAGTATCTAGAGCATCATGCGTACGACTGGTATCACGACCCCCAAACGGCGGGCGCATTCGCGTACTTTGGTCCGTGCCAATTCAGCGAATTGTACCCTTCCATAACGAAGCCCAACGCACTCGGACATCTGTATTTTGTGGGAGAAGCAGCGTCCGCACATCATGCCTGGGTTGTAGGTGCCTTGGAGAGTGTCGTCCGAGCACTGTGGCTGATGTTCGACAATCTCCACCAAGCCAGTTGTGATGAGCATGGGAAGGATCATGACGACCATAGGCCTTACAAATGGGCAATGGAGCTCCTTGAGCGTGGCTACTTTGAAGACAAAGAGGGGCGCTTTCATCCTTCCAAGAACCCCAGTCCTTCACCATTCTTCCCTCTGCCGGTGGAGATGCCAATTCGCACCGATAGAGAGATCAGGGAACGGAACGCTCGTGACGAACACGGCGAATTATTGCATGACCGTATCGGTCTGGGACCTCTCATGTTCGGCGCCGCTTTCGTTGGCATTGCACTGCTCGAGTACGCTTTGGAGAATTGGCTGGATGCGACCGACGATGATGACGACCAGGATGAGAATGGTGAAGATTGAGGATGGATGTGGAAATGAGAATATCGCGTTGCAAAGGGCTACCACTGACGACTGTTGCGCATTTGACCCACATAGTCCTTCAGTTGCACTAACAGTTAATAAGCAAGTCTCTTACTTAAGTTCACCACCCACCAATGTCAAGTCAGTCGGGTGGTATCTTCGTTCCAGGAGTCATTGACGTTTGTCTCTGCTATAAGCCCATCTTCTTCGTGACATTTGGCCGCAGCTACTTTCAACGGACAACGCACCGTGCCCATAGACATTCCATTGTTCTTGTTCATGAATGGATGTGATGATTCTGGATTGCAGTTTGACTTGATAGAACTTCATGTCCAAATTCCCTACATTCAACGGTGGAACAGATCTTGCCAATATCACTGGCAATGATATTGAAATGGGTCGTGGTGTTTGACGCACAGCGCCAGGGCGCGTTGCGATTTCTGCGAATGAGTGATTGAGGCAAAGACAGCGCACATCAACACAAGTCGAGCAGATGCAAACCGGAGTCTTCATTACTTGCCGAAATCCCGCGCGCAGTGCAGAAGCTTGTTCCGACCACTGTAAATCCGCTGTGCGGCCATTTCCAATCATCTGTTGATCTTCGGCCCACATGTGAACCTCGGCCGATCCCGCATCCGACGCAGGCCATGCCATTGACCACCTCCGCACGTTCAATCACTCGGCATTCTCAAGCACCTATAAAACTAAAGCTCTCTCATATCTATCCCGTTTCTGGAGCTTATTGCACGGCAAAATATCACGTATTTATAATTGATCATTTAACCATGGACTCTGGGCAATTACGCCAACGAACAGCATCGCGCTTGTCAGCGATAGCGGGTCAACTATCAGCACCATCATCACCAACGGACGCTCAGACAGGGAACATCATGCAAAGTCCAGACGCCAACGGATACCCTGAAAAGGTGCCAATCACATACTACCCTCTCAACACTCAGAAGGCCTACCGCCACAATGAGAACAGGATGAAGGATAAGCTCTACGCCAAATACTGCCACCGGGAGCTCTACCTCTACGCCGACATCCCGCAGTACATCCGCGAGCAAATGCCCGCTGAAGGCGTTCTCCCCATCGGCGACTCTCCTCGTCTCTTGGAGCCCGGCTACCACAAACACGAGAACGGCTGGCGGATGCTCCCAGATGGCACCGCGTACGTCACGTCTCGCACCCGGTTCCCAGGATCGACAGGAGACATGGTGCGCTGGTGGTTCTGGTGGCACAGCGTCGAGCCCGAGCGCTACGCCCTCTGGTTCCCCTACGACCACCTGAGCGCTCGCTCGACTTACGCGGACCGCCTGCACCGCACTGACCTATCCCACACGCAAAAGTGGCTCGGATCCACGCACCGTGTAACGGAGTTCATCGGGTCTCAGAAGATGACCGTCCACATCCACTTCGTGGACCCGGCGCAGTATGGCCTGCCGTGGGATAAGCTCAAGGCCGCGGGCTATGAGGCGGCTGTGTGTGCGGAGCTGCGGGACGGGTTGCTGCCGAACCTTAAGATTGGTGACTTCTTGCACCTCTGGCGCAATACGGAGGATGGGCTGGAGCTGCGGAGCCGGTACTGGCTTGGTGGGGGGATTCACTACAAGGTCATGGGGATGAAGGTCGGCATTGACTATTTGGCGGGAGCTCTCGGCTTCAAGAAGCGCATGGCTGGAGAGAACATTGCCTATGAGCATTTCATTCACGACCAGACCGAGTTTACAAACTTGGCCTCGTTTTTACCAGATTTGTATGGGGATTACATGGCAGGGAGATTGGGTAAATAGCCAAGGTCTTACCTTAATCTTGCTCATGTCGCTTTCAGATGGAGAATGGCTGGGGCTGAGCTCGATGGGTCCTTCGGTGAAACGCAAATCTAAATACTCTCTCGTCAAGTTAATCAACTCAGTAAACAAGTCACCCTACTTGTTTACTTGAAATTTCTTATGAACTTTATCTACTGCTACTGACCAACTAGACGCAATCCATTTCTCATCACACTTGTCATTGCCGAGGTACAATATACAGCAAGGTACAGATGTGCAAAAGGACCAAGCAACACTAATAGATACAGCCCAAGGTGTGGACACAGAAGTACTATACTTAGTAATCACTTTCCCATATGGGCTCCACTCCATCATAGGTAATACCTGGGCTGGTAGACTGGCTAGGAGCAACGCCCCTAGCGCCTTTGAGATAAGATGCGAGAGAACATCGCCAAAGCGAAGAGTGTAGGTATACGCGAGAAAAAGAATTCCACAATAAGAGAAGTTACCAGCTGTGATGTCTCATCCTGTCTTCTTTTCTCGACCACCCTCGCAAGTCGCCATGTCCAGATTGTTATGGTCGTGATCAGGTTGGCCCATAGCCAGGGGCCACCCTGTTCCGCATGTTAGCGACCTCTTCGTTGAGGATGATTGCAAACATTTTGGTGACCTACCACAACATAGTATGGGGCTAAGACCAGAAATCCGACGAGAAAGAGGAGGATTTTCAACAAGTCCAGTGTGACAACATCCTGAGCTGCCCCAAAGCTCTGGAGTTGTTCCGACCATGGGAGACCAGAAGCACCGTATTGCTTGACGATAGAAACAGAAATTTGGATGGAAACCAACCCAAAGGCCATTATCCAACCAAAGAAATTGCAAATCCGTGGGAGGATGTACCACAAGCCTTGTCCCTCAACTCGTTGACCAGGCTGACCCCAAAAAAGCACGTCGAACTCGGATAAGATGAAAACGATTCCAATTTGAGTCATGCAGAGAAAGAACCCATCAACGGCCGTCAGCGCCGTGTAAGCGTTTTCACTCCATTTCAACGTCACGTCCGCGCGATAGCTCATCCACAGGACAAACGATGCTTTGGTAATGGATGCCAGAACGTCACTATCTTTTGGTTAGAAACACTTCGCACGTGAGGATCTTTGTATTGAAACCATAGTCACTCCCTATGTGGACCACTTCGTAACCTTTCCTGAACTCACATTACATAGAGCCTTTCAAGAACCCAGAGCCATGACTTGGACCTCGCCGCATCTGTCTTGCGCAAGCCTCCCGTCTTGGCTTTCCAGTTGCGTTTCCGCGATGTGCTGAATAGTTTTACACCACAGGCTGTCAGGATCATAACACTCAAAGCAATGGTCGTGCCCTGAAGCCTGCGATGCTGTGGCCAGAGCGGCGGATGCTGGACGACGAACGCTGGTGTCCCGTGGGGAAGGGCAGGGGCGTTGGTTACCCCATGTTCATGAGGTATCCCCAGAGGCGACAGAATCTTCTCCATCTCAATGAAGAATGCCAATTTCCATAGTAAGGATATGGAGACGAAAGAATGAATGCATTCAAAAAGAAGAGAGATGCGCTTTTAGGTATGTTCCTCGCAGTTCAGTGACAATTCTTTCGCTCCATTCTTTCTTGGCAGCAAGCAGCTAAGTTGACGTCACGATACAGCAATAGTAAACGTCTTCATTGGGGAGAGGAAATTGTCAGACCTAGTGATGCAGCATAACAATAAGCGAAGATGCCTGCATTTGCTAGCTCCCTAAAACTCCCTGTATTTTCGCGACCCTGGCTGTCATAGGTAGCGCCAAGAGCGACTGGGACGGGCGCGCTGTTCTAGGCATCATCGCTCGGCAGCAAATGATGACTTGAAAGATGCCCAATGACAGAGGGTGAGGTGAGTACGTCATGTGTGAAATGAGCGCAAAACCTCTCGCGGTGCCGTGTAACCGTGTCTCGTCGCGCCAACCCAACATCGTTGGAACAATGAGAGGAAAACATGACATTGAATGCAAGTCGATACGCATCGCTTGATATGGAAGTGATCAGCACGAGGCATCCAGCTCTACCAAAAGCAATGAGACAACGCTCGCCTGAAACAAGGGACTGAGCCAAGAGCCATCGTGACTGAACTTCGTCTGGAGTTTACCTCAGTGAATAGAGACGTCGTCAGCATCCAGCCTCCAACTAAACCCCATTACCTTTTCAACAATGGCGATTCACGCCAAAGGCGTCGTACTCAACGTGACACCCACGCGAGCTCGGACACGCCAGGTGTTCATCGTATGTTTCCCCCTTCGCAAAGGGCCGTTCCAAAATAACCGTCGATCCATCGCTCCAGTCTCAACTATTATGGGCTCGGGGGATATATAAAGTCCACTGGGGTTACATCGTGACCGTCAAAGTGTTTAATTCTAATTGCATCCACGGCGTCTCGGCACCAGATGCCATCCAAAGACAAGCACGCCGGTCATCCCATGGCGGAGAAGCGATTGCGTCTGCCCCTGGCGACCCCCACATGCCGGCAGCCCAGCACCACTCTTCCGCGATGTTTCGACGCTCCCTTCCCGGGGTAAACCCCCATCAAATCGAGATGAAACAATGCTTCACGGCGGAAAATTTACCCCTAGAACCCTGACGATCGTCAGAAACTCCCCCACTGTCAACGACAGCAACGCGTACGCCAAGAAACAAGTCTAGGCGAGATGAAATTTTGGGAGTCTTCGCAATCCAAAAATTGCATCAACAGTGTTCTACGCAGGCTTCGAGAAGAATAAATAAGGTAGACGTCAAGCTCAAACTATCGATTTAGCTTCCGTAATCTCAGCCGCCAGCGGTCCACCTTGGTCTTTTCACTACCACTTTTGACATTCTCAAATCTCCTCTCCAGCAATCATGGTTTCTCAATCTCTTGCGCTGCTGTTGTCCGGCTTCGCGCCATGCATCTCGGCACTTAGCCATCAGCTTCTAGTTGGAACATTCGGAACACCATACATCTACACTCTTACCTTCGAAGATGCGGCCAAGACACTGGTTCTGAGTGCGAACACCTCAGTGAACACCAGCAGCTCATGGATTGCCTTGAGCGTAAGTGACCATCCCTTGGACCCAGCGTCACTTCCCCAAAGAGACTCACTAACACCATGCAGTACGACAAGCAAAACCTGTATGGCAACTCTTTCGAAGACAGCGGCAACAGCCAATACGTCAGTTATGCTTTTGAAGACGACCTCTCCATTGGCGCTGGAACGATCATCACGGCCGGAGGAGACTGCACCGAGCGCTCCATCTTCGTGACCCCTTCAACCGTCTCTCCGTATACAGTCTACGGAACGCCATTTGGCGCGTGTGGGACGGTCATGTCAGTGACAGATGGAGTTCTCACGGAGTCAATCCAAGAATACAACTACTCGACGTCTTCCGGAGTCCACGGCCTCGCCTTCAACCCTGCTGGAACTATGATGTACTCTTTCGACGACACCGGCAACGCCATCTGGGTTCACTCAATTGACAACTCTACCGGGGAGCTTACCTACGTTGCGGATGTTGCTGCTCCTGTTGAAGGAGCCGATCCGAGGCATGGCGCCGTGCATCCGGCGGGCGGCTACCTTTATGCTGTGCATGAAGGAACCAATGAAGTCGGCGTTTACTCCATCGACCAGACGACTGGCATTCCCAGCTATGCCAATCCTTCATTTTCTCTCATCCCAGAAGGTAAGACTTTCATGCTCACATCACCAGATCTCAAATCACTGACAACGTGTAGGTGCCAACAGCTCTGACTACTGGTCAGACGAGGTCGCGATTGCCTACGGATCCAAGTTCCTCTGGGCGACATCGCGAGCCCGCGACGCCAACAACACTGGCTACATCTCAATCATGTCTTTGAACGACGACGGCTCTGTGGAGAAACAGAACTTCCTGTCTCCCACAACCACCAGTGGAGGGTCAGCGAACGCTATCACCGCGAACAGCTTCAGCGACATGTATGTTGCGCTAACTGATAGCTCTACGGGATTCGTTGAAATTTGGGAGATGGGCGACGGCGGCGCATCTGCAAGTGCGGTTGCTCACCTTGACTTAAACGATGGGGGGTGCTGCGGAAATGCAGTCTGGTTGAATTAGAATGGAGTAACGAGATACCATGTGTGTGTGTGTGAGGCCTTGCATTAGAGTTCATCTTATTTCCGTTTTTCACCTAGTCTACTTGAGTCTGCGTGACCTTGATACTGGCACCAAGGCAGTGATGTTCATGCGAGCGTCCAATCAGTGGTTCAGTCCATTCCGCTAAAGGTCTTGTCTTCGTTCCAAATTCTCTTGTGTCCTTGAACTTGAACGCACCATCCCGTCTATATTCACTTAATGAATGTTCTTGGAGTTGACGATACAAGACATTGGGGCTTGCCCTGGGCCTGCCGTGACGATCTGCTACCCTGCCTTCTATCAACATCATGCACATCGCAATCCAGAGAAGCACCTGCCTTCTTACAGTCACGAATACGATGTCAATAGTCTCCGCAATCATCCCGGCTGCCTGTTATGTTATCTCGTATCGGCTCAAGTTGACAGTTCATTCGCGGAACGATAGTCGATATAATGAACTAGCTGAGTTGTAGTGACTCGTGATCCTGGGTGGCATGGCTACTTCATTGGTGGGACTTGTTCATAAAGAAGAAAATATAGGAATTCATGATACTTGATGGACGGGATATTTAAAGCGGCTGGGCGATTGGGAATAATATCCTTCCGTAGCCAAATGCAGAAAGCTTTTCGGAATTTGCCAAGACCTTGTTCGGAGAATTCCACGACTAAGACGAGAAGAGGCATTAGGGATTGGGTTGCACCAATTGACATCGTAACATTAGCTTGGAGCCAAGCCTTGGCTTCTGGGGTATCATGCGTACCAATGAGAGTTGTCAAGAACCGTCTCGTATTCGACTCGGATAAGTCGTTTGAAAAGATAGATACTTACTGTAATGGCTCACCGTCCCACTATATAATCTGAGCTCACGAGAAGCGAGATGAAACCCAACCAGTTTACCAGCTAGATTAACTCGCAATTCATCAAGTCTCGTCATTTCAGCAGCAATGTTCAGCAAGCCCATCTTCGCAGCCGTAGCTGTTCTTGCAGCCCTGCCGACGGCCCTTGGTTGCTTGGGCTACGAAGCAGGCCTGCCAACTCCTACCTCAACGAAGAAGATTTCTGCTCCGATCTACGTTCGGGCCGGTCAAGTCTTTGATGGAGGCTGGGCCAAGTACGACAGGAGCCCCACGTCTTGTACTGGGCAGCAAGAGGGAGGTTTGTGGGCACCTACCTATGTACTCACTCAGGTTACCTCCTAAACTAACTGGCGGACCACCGCACAGGCGAGAAGGACACTGCATTCGTTCTCGAGAAGGGCGCCACACTCCGAAACGTAATCATCGGCAAGACTGCCGGCGAAGGCGTATACTGCCTCGGAGGTGGTTGCAACATCGAGTTCGTGTGGTTCGAGGATGTTTGTGAGGATGCTATCTCGATCGTAAGCGACTCATGATGAATCAACCATGGGCACGGTCTGACTGAATATTAGAAAGAAGACAAGGCCGGCGACGTGACATGGATCGTCGGTGGAGGTGCTTACCACGCTTCCGACAAGATCATCCAGCACAACGGCTGCGGAAAGGTCAATGTGAGTATATTCTCTCGCAATGTATATCGTCATTATTGACACTTGGACTAGATCATCAACTTCTATGCTGAAGACTATGGAAAAGTCTACCGGTCTTGCGGAACTGTGAGTATCTATGCCGTCTGAATCATCTTGCATAACCATCTTCTGGTACTTTGCTGGTGTGAGAGCTTTGCTAACAGTCTTTAGTGCCAGAAGTGTGCGCGCGAAGTCTACGTCGAGGGAGTCACTGCCCGTAAGGGAGGTGAAGTTGTTGGAATCACCAAAGCCAACGGCGACAAGGCAACTCTCAAGAACGTCTGCACTGACGCGAAGACGCCCTGCCAGAACTACAGCGGTCCCGGTGTCAAGGACGGCGCCTGCTAAAATGCATTGAAGCATTGCACATCATCAACTACGCCATATGACAATATCCAGAAACGACACAACTAGGTACCTTTCAACAGTGAATGGTCTTTGATGTTGGAAAGCTCGCATTCACATGTACATACTTCGTCGCACATAGGTTTAGTCTTCTTCGATGCACAAATTGATCACCGGAGCTGTTTGCATGATATCAATCTTCTGCTTGCTCTCCCTAGGGCCCCGCCCCGCGACTATCTACGTGTAGTGACTCTATTTCGATGCGGTGAGAGTGCCGTTAGTGCAAGGAATGCCAAGGGTCTTGTCGTTCTCCAGCCCAACACACTCCATTTCGCCTGCGCTGCCATCCTGCAGGGTTGTTAGTTTATGATGAATGCTGTGGGCTCCAGTTACTTACAGCAGCGACGAGGGTAATGTCTGAGAAGTGGAAGTCCTGGCAATGGGCCGCATCCTTGCATATGATGTACATTGACTTCTTGGTGGTTTCCTCTGTAGACGAGTCAGTGCTTAAACTTGGGGCAGGCCGAGGGACGCCGATGGCAACTTACCAAGAGTCGAGCTCCAGCACGGGCTACCTACGCAGCTGCCGTCCTTCAGGCTGCTGCTGGTGTGGGCAGTGATGCTCTCCCAGCGGAAGTTCTTAGCGTACGCAGCGAGAGAGGCATCCTTTCCAGCAGCGCCCTTCTCCTGGTCGACATAGTCCTCAATGAAGTGGATGGGGTAGCTGGTGTTGATGATGGTCATGTTGCGCCAGGTGACATCGGAGATGTTGCAGGTAGTGCCGACTGAGCCCTTGAAGCGGGCTCCTAGAAGCGAATCGTGGATTTCAGCGTTCTCGAAGAGATACTGGCTCCCGCTTCCCGAAGCACAAGAAACAGAAATGCCATGGGTTCCGTAGGCCTTGATGTTGCGCATGGTGACGTTAACAGCCGGCGGGGAGACGTTGATGATGTCGTCGCCGTTCCAGCTTGTCCATCCATCGATTACAACGTCAGAAGCGCTGACATCCATACCGTCGGTGTTGAAGGGGAAACCGTTGGTGGATCGGGCGTCGAGCAAGGTGTCCGTCATGTAAACATCCTGTCCGCCCATGGAGAAAACCCAGGCGACGGGGTTGATGACCTTGATGCCGCGCAGACGAAGTCCAGTGACACCAAATGAGAAGAAGTGAGGGCGGCCATTGTCGCTGCTGTCATTCTTGTTGGACCACCACTTGTCACCTTGGCCGTTGAAGTAGCCGCCGCCAGGGGCGCCACTGATGGTGACACCCTTGCTGTTGGCAATGGTGATCCAGTGACCGGGGTACGCTGTTCTGTTGCCAACGACCGCTGAAACCACAGCGCGGTCGTCTGAAAGAGTGAGGTTGCCCTCGACCGAGAACTCAACGTTCGTCAGACCGGAGAACTTCAAAGGAGTAAGCAGAGTATATTCGGTGCCGGCGCTGAAGACCACGCGCGAGTTGCTGCCGCAGGACTTGACGGTGGAGGTGATGGTGGGAGAGGCGTCGCCTGTGGTCTTGGGCACGACACAGGTCTTGAACTGGTCCTTGCCCAAGGTTTCCGGCAGCCAGTACCCAGAGGCCACGGAGGCGAGGAACGAGAGTTGCAACAAGGTATTTTGCATGGCGGTAGTGACTGTAAGAAACGGGAAACCCAATAATCTTGGCTGTTAAGACGAACGAGCTTTCTTGGCGTTCTTCTCCAAGCTTTTATGTTCCGACCGTTAGGGGAAAGCAAGGACGTCGCAAATCTTGTCCCAATAGGTTAAATTAGTCCTCCTGTATCTGAAGTCCATGGGACGAACTCTCGCCCCCATCTGCCCGCGCCATGAGTAGTCCATGTGCCAAATAAGATCAAAATGCAAGGATGACAGCAGAGTTTCCAGGCTCGAACGCCTGGACTGTTGCGCTGAGGGGGATTTGTGCCTGCTGTAAGCGATCCAGTTTGGGGGAACACTCGCCGGAGAAATGCGATCCCCGCGACCGACGGGAGCCAAGAAAGTGTCAAGATCCAAGCAGGCAATCTAAAAAGCTTGTCTCACCTCCTTTCAACATGGATGCACGATCTCGTCAAAACGAAGAAGATTGCTCGCACTCAGATGGCAATGGCCGTATGGCAATATGGATGTTTCATCTAGACTGAACCTTGACATGACTCTGCCTTCGGTTTCAACACCGACGTTGCCGCATTAATCTCCCATGACTCCGCCTCATCCGCGACGCTGCCGATATCCGGACTGTGGGCCGCATTGCATTTCCGTTCGCCATCTTCAACGGGGAATGTTGTGCCGAAATACTTTGAAGTCAGCGTCACGCTATGAGATTCCTCACCAGGAACGACATGCCACATTATCTCCTCGAACGACCATCGCATTTCGCTAGCACCAGTGACGGACGCCGCATGCCAGCCAACATTGATACGCAAGGTAATTAACGATTGGTAAACAACGGTCTTGATTTCATGTACGATAAAGATATTTTTACTCCCCCTTTACCCAACCTTCCTTTTCATTTTGTTCCTTGCTGCGTTGGCTCCAAGCCGGAGCAACGTCAATACCGTCCTCTTCTTCTCTATCGCCCTGCTCCTTGGTCTCGTGGACCGTCGTCGGCTTATGTTCAGCCGGCGAGTAGACGGTGTACAGGATCAGTGGTGTGGGTCCCTTGTTCAAAAACTGGTGCTTCGTTCCGGCCGGGACAATGACCATGTCGCCAGCCTTGACCTCCTGCTCTTTACCACCGACTTGAGCGAGACCCTCGCCAGATGTGAAGGTGAGAATCTGGTCGACGGTGTGTACCTGATAATAATGTTAGGAGGATCTACAAAATATGTGTTTTCTCGTGGCTGATCTCACTTCTTCACCAATGTCTCCGTCTACCGGGATGGTCATGAGTACCAACTGCGAGTAGAGACCAGTCCAAAGCACGCGCCGAAATTCGCCCGACTCCGACGGCAGGGCCGTGGTAATGTCAGGGAAGTATTGCATCTCCTTCTTCGGCGGATCGCTTGAAGGGGTAGGAAATCGGGCCATGTTGCTGACGTGGAAGAGACACTTCTGGTGGACGGGCGTAACTGAAATGAATTTTCTCAGAGGAGCTAGGGAAACCTTTCGGACGGAACGGACAGCTCTGAACGAAAACATGAGTGCGAATTCAGATAGTATACCGACGTGTAACAATACTTACCGTCCGAATGATATGTCGTCGTTTTTAAATACCCTGGTCAAACTACATCATGGTGTGGTGATGCTCTACGGGATGGATACGTCATCGATCGAGCAGACCCAGTCATCGTTCAAGTCCCGTCAGGGTTCTCACGCCCCTCATAAAGGTGCACATATCTATCAGAGCCAATTAATATCGACGTATGACGACTTCCATTCGTTGTCGTCGAGGTCTAGAACCAGATTCGAACGTTGATCGGGCAAGCATCGAGAAACTAGAGGTCGGCTCCGACATCGCCGAAACATGTGGGTCCAGTCCGCCGGAGTACCCTGAGCGTCGCCGGAGTCGTCTTGGCATCGCACGAGTGCAGTTCCTAGATGTCAGATGCTGACTTGGATGACGCGAGTTGATTTTAGTTCAAACTTTTCTACTGAATTCTGAGGGTTGAACCTAAGATGGGACGGCACATGTTGAATGCTGTACCTCCGGCAGAATAGAAGCGATGATAACAGCAAACGAGCGGCCGGCCGGGTCAGCAGTGAGCTTGACCCAGCCAAATAAAGACACAAAAGAGGAGTACCAAAGAGCAACTCAGCAAGAAATAAATCGAGAGATTCAAATATCTCTCAGCGCCAGCAACTTCATCGCAGGCGAACTCCTCACCGAGCTCGCCCGCTTTTCTTTCTCACTCACACACCCTTTCCAAGCAAAACCAAGTTGGCCACGTTCATGACCGCCATGACAAGCCAGGTCAAGATCGCAAAGGCCGCAGTGTACCACGAGTTCGCCATCTTGACCACATAGCCCCCGTCTCTGGTGTTGGAGTCTTCCTCGTCGGAGCTAGTTCGGAATCGAGCACCGCCGGCGCGGATCGTCATGTACTTGTTGCAGCAGGTGAAGTAGATCAACGGTGCCGTAACAAACGGGAGCACAACACTGAGAACGACTTGCGAAGCATCCAGAGCCTGGCTGATTCCCTTCCGACCGACAGCTCCCGCGATGATGACACTGGGAATAATACTGATGCTGCGGGTCACGAGCCGGCGCAGCCAGGGCCGCATCTTCCAGTTGAGGGATCCCTCACTGACCATCTGGCCCGCGATTGTGCAGACGACTCCGGCAGAGATACCAGAGAGAAGCAAGGCGAGGGCGAAGACGGTCGCTGCCGCAGGAGAGATGGAGTCCTTGAGGAGCTTGTGGATGCTGAAGATATCGGCGTCGGGCGCGTCCGGGTTATTATACAGAGAAACTCCGGCAACGATCAGGATAGCCGAGTTGACGAACAGCGCAAAGGTGAACAACGAAATGCTCAACTCGGCGATAGAGACTTTGAGAGAATGCTTGATGGCTCTCGCGGAGGGCACGTAGTAACCCTTGTCGGTGTTTCCGTCTGCAAAGTCTGTCTCGTCTACTCCAGGCGGCAGAAGGTTGTGCTTCGTGTCGTACTCTCGAAGACGGGGTTGAACGATACCTGAGCCAAGGTAAAGGCTGTGCGGCATGACTGTCGCGCCCAGAATGCCGCAAGCTTGGTAGAGACTGGATTTAGGTTAGCGACGCTGCTGTGGACTTGCAAGAGTAGCATCATACCCCTTAGCTTCGACGATGGCATGGGAGGGCAGGTATCCTTCGAAGACATCTCCAACAGGCGTCTCTTGAATGAGAGACAGCTGGATGCAGAAGCAAACGACTACTGCCATGACCAGGCCTACGATGAAGTACTCGAACGTTCGCAGGCCTTTCATGGATCCATGCGGGCGGTAGAAGAACAAAATAACCATTACATCCAAGATCGAGATGGCACAGCCAGCTACCAGCGGGATGGCAGGAATCAGAAGGTTCAATC